AACAGGTATAAAGCGGTTAACGATTCTAATTGGTTGATGTGAAGCAACCCCTCCGCTTGCGACCAGTTGTTGAACACCGCTTGACCCTCTGAAAAAACTCCCCAGCCTGAATTCGAAATCCGTGATGGAACAACGAGGTCCTGCTCTAATTTCTCTGATGAGTTTCAGTAGGCCTTGCTGTTTATCCAATGGAAGGTCTAAGGACATTGATTCCGAGTTTAGAATAAATCCCAGGTATTTACGTTTTTTTTTTTTGGTTTCAAGTTGCTTTTCTCGTGATTAATAACAAACCTAACAGATCTTCTAACAGTTCAACCGTTGTCTGAATATTTTTCAGACATTTTTCCTCTGATTCGGCGAAGGAAAGCAATCTATCTAGCATGTAAATAACTAATAACTCACAGAGGTCAACTGTTGATTTCTGAGAAAGGCTACAACCGGCTTCAATATTTTTGTGAAAACCCATGGAGCTATATTTAACCCAAATGGAAGACATGTATATTCGTAGATACACTTGTTCCAAGAGAACCGTAAAAACTTCCTATCGGATTGATGTATAGGAATTAAATAATACGCGCTCTCCAAGTCAATAGTTTCCTTGTAACAATAGTCATCAGCTTTAAAGCTGTTCTTGTATCCTCCATTTAAAAATGTTTTTTATTAATAACTTCATTGACTTTTTTATTATTAAACACAAAACGCATGTTTTTGTTACTCTCGGGGACTAAAAAATAATTAGACAAAACCTGACCCTGAACACTGACATTTTTCGACAACACCTAACCTCAAAAGATCGTTAATTGCCTTTTGCATCAACTCCACTTCTACCCCACCAACCAACGATCCAACCGAACTCTTTGTTTCGGAATCTCGATAAAGGGAATTTTATACCACTTGTCAAAAGTGAAAATGCTTGTGAAAATGCTTGCCGTATGAAGGACGGCGGTGCTCCATATAGGCAAGAAAAGTGAATGGAAGAAATGGCTAGGAGCCGGATAGCTCAGTTGGGAGAGC